GGTGGCATTACTTGGTCTGCAGAAACCTTTTCCCACATTAAGTCTCTGAAGAATTCAGCACTATTGAGGTCTGTGCTGTGCCCCCGCCTTGGGGACATGCTGTATCCTGATGTTGGGAAGTGCCGAGTTGCCCCGTTCCAGTGGGGTGTGTGGGCGGGGCCCCGTCAGGGTTCTGTTATTGTGACATCCAGGTGACAACCGGGCACCTGCCAAGGGCAGAGCCCGTCCCTCGGCAGCACTGCGAGGTGTGCGGTCGCACGGATCGCAGCGCAGCTCTCGCTCCGAGAGGTGTTTGATATTTGGAAAGCGCGTGTTTGTCTGGACCCTCACTCTGTGAGGTGTTCAGTGTTTGGAAAACCTCTGTTTTACTGGACCCTCACTCTGTGAGGTGTTCATTGTCCAGAAATACCATACTTACCTGGACCATCACTGCGTGAGGCCTTCCTTGTTCGGAAAGCCTGTGTTTATCGGGACCCTCACTCTGTGAGGTGTTCACTATTTGGGAAGCCTCTGTCTATCTGGACCACCACTCCGTGAGGCATTCGTTGTCTGGAAAGACTGTTTGCACAAGGTAATAACTCCCTGCTTGTCTGGAAGGGAGGGAAAAAGGGCAGGTACTTTTGTCTCTGCTGCCTTCCATCACTATAGATCAACAGGAACAGTTTGAAATCCAGATTCTTACTACTGCCGCTGCAAGCTGAGAATAATTGTCATGGAAAGAAGTCATCTCCCCAGGGAAACTAATTATTAATATTAATGTTATCCAGCCTGCAGTGGAACAAAGTCATTTCAAGTGGAGAGGAAGGTTCCGGGAGGGCTTGATGCTGCTTCAGCTTTAAACCTAAGTGTCTCTGAGGAGTAGGATAGCCATGGAATTCCTCATAAAGGAGGATGATTTTGGCAGTGCAAAGCAGCCTTGGCTCTGGCCTGGTTGCTGCCAAAAGTTCCCGGTGCTAAGAAAGAGATGGTTGATGGGAGACCCATCAGATCTGTGGCAAAAGCAACTCTGGGCACAGGGATTATTCGGAATTACAGTTGAGCTGTCTCAGACAGTAACTGCAGAGGAAGATGGTAAAACCTGTATGGAAAATCCCCAATTGCAGAAGTGAATCCAAAGCTCTGGATTTGTTATTATTTCAGTGTTAGTAATCAAGGCCATTATAATGAGAAATATGTACATTATATGTATTCAATGACAGTGGTCATTAGAATTTTTTAATATTTCAAGGCCAGGCTGGATGGGGCTTTAAGCAACCTGACCTAGGAAAAGGTGTCCCTGCTCACGGCAAGGGGGTTGGAACTTTAAGGTCCCTTCAAATCAAAACCATTCTATGATTCAATGTTTCTGTGCTTCTATGGTTCTGTGAATCCTCTGTCTTCTGCGAGTGTCCATCAAGCTGTCCCTTCAAAGAAATGAATGCTTGCACAGACATCAAGATTTTCGCACACTGTCAATGTTAGGGATGGCAGCGTTGAAGGGAAGGAAAGGGAAGCTCTTGACCGGGGTACACAAGGTTCAAGTTCCCCCCGTCAATACTCAGGCACGCAGCTTCTTGTCTTGTAACTGTCAGGTTTGCAGGATTGGGGACTGCAGCTGTTGGTGGGGCTCTGTTTGTGTTTAATGCTGGTAATCCAGAGTTAATACTGGTTGCCTTTCCAAGTTAGTACCAACTACAAAAGTTGGCTTGGTGCCACAGCAGGAGTTTTTGGATCAGGGCATGCAGGTACTGTGTGAAGTAACTGCATTAGAGCCTCCTGATTTCTTTTGGGGTTGAGGTCGAGCTTTGCACCAAAAAAGCACCTGTCACAATGGGGCAGATGCCAGGCTCGACCTTTCAGAACATCAAAGCCCAAAAGGTTTTCATTGTGCTCTGTAATTGCATAGTGAGTGGTCGACATCAACCTCTTGCTTTGGGGCCATAAATGAATGTGAGCAGCTTGGCAGGTCCTGCGGCTTGTTGTCCTGCAGTGACTGTAAGGCTTTGCTGTGCCAGTTGTAATCTCGGCTTCTGGGCATTTTACTGCCTCAATAAAGCTGAGTCCTGAGGTTGGGAAGTGCCGAGTTGCCCCGTTCCAGTGGGGTGTGTGGGCGGGGCCCCGTCAGGGTTCTGTGATTGTGACATCCAGGTGACAACCGGGCACCTGCCAAGGGCAGAGCCCGTCCCTCGGCAGCACTGCGAGGTGTGCGGCCGCACGGATCGCAGCGCAGCTCTCGCTGTGAGAGGTGTTGGTTGTGTGGAAAGTCAGTGTTTGTCTGGACCCTCACTCTGTGAGGTGTTCAGTCTTTGGAAAGCCTATATTAATCTGGACCCTCACTCTGTGAGGTGTTCAGTGTTGGGAAAGCCTCTGTTTGTCTGGACCACCACTCTGTGAGGCATTCCTTGTCCAGAAAGCCTGTGTGTATCTGGACTGTCACTCTGTGAGACATTCCTTGCCTGGAAAGCCTGTTTGTGCAAGGTAATTCACCGCTTGTCTGGAAGGGGGGAAAAAAGGACAGGTACTTGTGACTCTGCTACCTTCCATAAGTTTGAAATCTAGAATCTTACTACTGCCGCTGTAAGCTTAGAACAATTGTCACTGAAAGAAGTCATCTCCCCAGGGAAATTAAATATTAATATTAATATTATCCAGCCTGCAGTGGGACAAATTAATTTCAAGTGGAGGGGAAGGTTCCAGGAGGGCCTACTGCTGCCTCAGCTCTAAACCTAAGTGTCTCTGAGGAGTAGGATAGCCCTCATAAAGAAGGATAATATTGGCAGTGCAAAGCACCTTTGGTTCTGGCCCGGGTGCTGCCAAAAGGTCCTGGTGCTGAGAAAGAGATGGTTGACCGGAGACCCATCAGATCTGTGGCAAAAGCAACTCTGGGCACAGGGATTATTTGGAATTACAGTTGAGCTGTCTCAGACAGTAACTGCAGAGGAAGATGGTAAAGCCTATATGGAAAATCCCCAATTGCAGAAGTGAATCCAAAGCTCTGGATTTGTTATTATTTCCGTGTTAGTAATCAAGGCCATTATAATGAGAAATATGTACATTATATGTATTTAATGACAGTGGCCATTAGAATTTTTTAATATTGCAAGGCCAGGCTGGATGGGGCTTTGAGCAACTTGGCCTAGGAAAAGGTGTCCCTGCTCATGGCAAGGGGATTGGAACTAGATGATCTTTAGTCCCCTTCCAACCAAAACCATGCTATGATTCTATGGTTCTGTGATTCTGTGGTTCTATGATTCTATAGTTCTATGGTTCCATGAATCCAGTCTCTTCTGTGAGTGTCCATCAAACTGTCCCTTCAAAGAACTGAATGCCTGCAAAGACATCAAGTTTTTCCCACCCTGTCAATGTTAGTGATGGCAGCGTTGAAGGGAAGGGAGGCTCTTGACTGGGTTCATAAGGGTCAAGTTTCCAAGCAGCTTCCATGGTCAGTTAGAGCAGCTGTTTGCCTGTGACTTGATGGAGAAAGGCACTACATCCAGCTAAGGGATACAGCAATCAGTCTGGTCACATACAGCACTCTAAAACACTTGTAAAAATTCCAATCAGGGCCACTTGGGTGCCTGCTTTCGTCTGTAGGTTGTGGCTGTAGAGTCACGTAGGACAGTAGCTGGTAAGGAGAACCTTGGCATCTTGGAGTCCCCTGAAACATCAGTTTGTGAGCTGCAGGGAAAGATGCAACACACATGACTGAAAATGAGTGCAGCAACAAACTGTTTCAAGCTTTTTGAGCAAAAAGCCCAAATAACAGGCAATAACAAATAATAAAACAGTTGCTTTTAGAAGAAGAAAAGACATCCTAACTAAATTGTCCAGCCAGGCAAGTGGACATCAGGGAGGAAAGACTGTGTTCCTAAACGCAACTTGGTTGCAAAAGCATTTGTGTGTTGTAGAAAAAACAATGCCACGTTAATAAGGCCCACGCAACGTGAAATCCATAGGGCATCAGTGGTTGCAAACCTGGTCCTGTCAAAGACATTTGCAAAAGTCTTGGATTGTTTATTGAAATCTAGATGTCACTGTTGGCTGCTCACAGGCTTTATAGCCATGTTAAGGATAAACTGGTGACAGAGCAAGTGTCCTGTGTGTTTGTGCATCTCTGTCTGCCTAAGTTAGGACAACGTGAGGCCTATTCAAGCGAAGCTGAAAGAAAACTGGAATGACTTCTTCCAGTACGTGCTTGTGCCACCTTCCTTTGTTTTTCCATTCCAGTGGGCACCTTGTTCTTTTAAGGCAGTTGATTTAGCAGCCAAAGTTATGGTTTTCATGATTCTGAGGAGGGAACAAATATGAAATGTTTATTTGCTTTCAGATCCATACTCTCCTCTTAGTGTGTGTGTCTGTCCCTTAGGCTTTCCAGCTGCAGGCTGAGGGGTGTGTGTGACGGGATTCTCATCTGTAGTGGCCTGTGTCTTTCTGTGGCTTGCACCATTGCTATCTGATGGTCCCTTCCCTACTGAGTATCTGTTTTTTCTCTTCTAGAGAGGCTGACTCAAATTGGAGTCTCTCATAATGGAACCCCCAGACAAGGGGAAGAACGACGAGAGGTAGGAATTCATTGGGTGTAATCTTGACCTCCCAGGTGCTGTGACAAGTGTCGAGATGGTTTCAAAAAAATACTCCCCCCTCAAGGCAAGAATCATAATCCCTGAGGGGGAGAAGTAAGTCAGGATTGTCATGTCCCTGAGAGTGGCTTCAGAGCATGCTGGTGTTTTCATGGCTTCTGTGACAGACCCAGGCCTGGGTGACGTCCTGCTCTTCCAACCCGCTTAGGTACAGAGAGGCCAAATGTGCCTCTGTCCCTAAATGAGGGGAGGATTTTAAGTTCCCAAGTACCCAAAAGCAAGATTAAGACAGAAACCAGGTCAAATGTTGGAATCCAAAAGGTTAACTCAACTGGATTAAGTCCAAGAGAGGCAGAGAGAGAAAGAAGGAAAAACAGAAGGAAGTGGGAAAAGCCAGGAATAATGACAGGAAGCACGGACATGTTTACCACCCCCATGAACTCAGTGGTGGATCTTGTCTTTGGTGGTGTGTGGG